AGACAAAGAATATCGATGTTTTAAATTTACGCTGAAAACAAATTCCTTGACCGGGTTTTATATTTAGAACTGGAGGGAGTATAATTTTCGAGGAAATTTCAATCCCATGCCCTTGATCGTAAAATATACGTATATGCTTAATTCCTCTCATAATATAAGTCTTCTTTTTTTTTTTTAAATAAAAAAAATTCATTTTACATGTCTTTTTAAAAGTGTTTGGACTAAAATTAAAATGTTACTTACCAAGGCCATAACCTAAAGTGAGTTGAATAACTGAAGAGTCAAACCCAATTAGCTATCTAAACAAAAGAGCCAATCCATATTTCAAGAGAGTAACTCAGTTAGATGAACAAAAGTACTCAAGATCTCTTTAAGTTTTGGAACTAATACTTAGACCGTTAGTATATAAAATCATAATTTCAATGAGCCCCAAATCTCAAGAAGACATGACTATTATTCACGAGTATCTCGAAGACACAGGTTGATTGTTAAACAATGAAATGCGTTATGAAGTAGACCATGCATAGCGACTCCCTGATATTTTGCAAGTACATTTTAAATTTTATGGGAGCAACCGTCATAGCTTAACCATTATAAAAGGAGGATTAAACCACAGAAAGAAAAATAACAACACTTATCCAAATACTGACATTTTTATGTCTGTAGTTCTTAGATTTGTCATATACCTTTCACACGTAGCTTTTATTTTCATTTTCAGTTTTATAATCCTTTGTGTTTTGTAATCATTTAGTATTAATCAAATATTTGTTTTGCCAACTCTTGTATATTTTTTGCATCTAGGTAAACTATGACAAGCAAGCCCGAAGACCCTTTGTTATCATTTGAAACTCAGCATTTCTAGCACGCCTGGTAATTTATTATTCCCAACAAACAAATAGTTAAAAAAATCATTAACATTTTTTCCTATTAATCCCTTATTTATATGAGTAATGTAGAAATGTTTTACTGCATCAAATAAAGGGCAAATTTGGCAACTTGATTGAAATTTTAGTGTATCTCTATGTACAAAAAATGCCATAGAAGGTTCTAGTAAAGAGAGTGGCATGAATAGCTTTGAGCCTTGTGAAAAGAGATAAAAAAATATCAAAGAGAATACTCATAAAATTTTTTTAATATAATCTCTTGGTTAATAATAAAGTGCAATGTCATCATTCAATCCATATAATTGACCCTATCTAATGAGATAAAATTTTTTATTGTTGTATCAATTAATTTTTTTCGTTTATGTTAGAGCTGATAATTCGGGCTAGCTAGAATAAGCTCTAAAAAATTTAGAGTCAAGCTTTATAAAATAATATTTTTTAATGTTTAGAGCATATTTAAAGTAAGCTCGATCGAGTTCTGGTTTGGTCCACATACTTTAATAAAAAATTTATGTTTTTAAAAAATATATTAAATATTAATTAATTCTTTAAGTTTTAAATCATTTTTTTACTAAGATACCATATATTTGAATACATCATTATAAATATTTAAAAAAAATAAAAATATTTATATTGTCATATTTTTATTATCTTTAATCTAGAAAAAATTTCAAAATAATATTTTAAATGTATTTTAATATTTATGTTTAAATTTTAATACCCACATATTTTTTGAAAATTTTTTAAGTCTTCTACATTGTTTAAGTATCCCAAAAAATATATTTTATATTTTTATAAAATAAAAATAATTAATTTTAAATTAGAAATTAAATTAAAATTAATTTTAAAAAATGAAAAATAATAATAATTAGGGCATTCAAGCAAGCATGAATAAACCCAAAGAAGTTTGAGTCACTTTCTGATTCAAAATTTTCTGCAAATTCGAACTTATCTTGACCTAGTCGAATATATCCAGCCTATTTAAATTACCAACTCTAAGTCAAATATTAAAAGACTTATATATTGAAACTAAAGTGCATATATGTGTGTCAAGAACTTTTATTGAAGAAAGACACTTTCAATTCGTAATACAAATCTTTTTAATAATATTTTTTAAGTTATTGTTAGTCTAAAGTTTAGAACATTTTATAATTTTTAAAAAGTATGTTTCTATTTTTACCCTATATTAGTGAGAATGCGCTAGGTTACATGAAGAATTGTGAGTGTTAATAGTAGATAAAAGCAAAACTAGGAAAAGAAGTCTTTTTCTCATGAAATTTTTTAAAGAATTTTTTTTTAAAATTTACAATACATTCCCTCCCATCTTTATTATGTGACACCTCTTATAATCATTTTTTAGTCCTTCATATAAGGTAGGCATTCTATAGGGTATTAATTACATTTTTTCAATATGACCCCTATTGAAGCTCATTAACTATAATAGAAATTGTAATGAAAATTTTAAATTTTTTTGATAAATAAGGATAAAAGTAAAAGTTTGTTGTATTTCCAAACAAAGTTAATATTTCAACCATTTCTTCTTGGTTCTAAATTCTAATAAGATAGTTGAAGGTGTCTTGTAATAAATACTTTAAGAAGTGTTGGGTGATTTTGAACCTAAAGTATTACCTTTGCTTGACTTAGAATTGGAGTAGCATAACTGGTGAGCATTACACGGAAGTCATAATGGCCATCCCGCCCAACTTTGCTGGAATGTGAAGCTTGGTAACCGTACGACTTGGGAAACGCAAATCATGTTGGTGTTTGCCTCATGGACACGGGGTTGACTACTGGACTTGAGCCCCGTTTCGTCTGCAATAAATATGATTCGGTGGCTAGTTGCCTCCAATCTTTGCAGCAGATTCTGTAAACCACTTGCTTATTAACTCTCGTGAACTTTGTTTTAGGCTCAATTGCTTCATTGACCGTGCATTCTAAACAGGCCGACCGGGACTTTCATCAGGGTCGTGGCCTCGCGGGGGAATTGGGTTCCTTTTTCGCAAATTTCTGTTGCTGTCACTTCATTTTCGAATGATACGTAAGAGTAGTGTCCATAATAACTTTCAAAAACATTTCGTCACGAATACTTGAGATTCTTTTCTCGTCGTATCTTGAAAACTAATAAAAAGGGTCCAATTGCACTATCAATATGCAAAATCACATGAACGAATACATATTTACAAATACGATATGCATATCATGCTCTTCCATATGTTCGATATAGTTACATCTCTTTTTGATGGTGTATTGCACAAACTTCATCCCCTTTTCCAAGAGCATGCAGTTGAACCTATAACAAGTCAACAACACAAATTTCATCCCCGGAGTGGGACTGGATCAATAAAGGCGCCACAAGGGTAAAGAATTCACTACTTCTTTCAGATCCCTCTGTTCCCCACATAATATAATAAGGCGCCTCTAGAGTGTAGAAACGGAGCTGGCCCTGTTCTACTTTCTCCCCAAGGACCTTGATGACCATTCCCAATTAGCATGGAGGAAAGGGATCATACATTGAATGGTTAAAGTTCATTTTTTCTTTTAAAATATACTGTTAGACGCACTTAGTGTCCTACATCTTACTGTGATTCAATTGATCTCTTAAACTTTAAAAAACAAATCACCTATATCTTACCATTAAATTCATGTTAATAGACATCAAATGAGAAGGTAGGACCCATAAATTTGAAGAGTTGGCATCCAAGTGCACCTCCATCTCATCATCTCACCATCTCACTCTGCCTCATCATCAGATTCATCTCTCCCTCACATGCCTAATCTCATCATCATCACTTACACCATCTCTCTTTGTTTCATCATTGGATTCATCTCTCCCACTTATCTCACCATCATTATCTCACCATCTCTCCCTACCTCATCATCCAATTCACCTCTCCCTCTCATGCCGAATCTCATTGTCTTTCCCTTTCTCCCTCTTTACTCTCAACATTGACCAACCCTTCCTAAACTTAGGAAAAGCCCTTTTGCCTTCCCCTTCACAATGGTGGACTCAACAATGAAAGAGTTTAAAGTTGGAGATGGAGGTAGATGTTGGAGATGTAAGATGGGAGAACTATGGGTGTGGTTTTGGAATTTGCCAAATTGTGCACCAGATGAGGGCCTAGAGATAGTTTCAAGGGCAATCACTTGCTGTATCGTAATCTAAGATTTGCCAAACCATGCACTAGAGAACAAATCTCCATGATTTGGGAATTTCAAGTTGCTTCATTCTTTAGAAGTTTTCATTGAGTGGGCGGAAAGAAGGAAAAAGACAAAGTTGGTGGGTAGTTTTCACGATCACCAGTGTCCCCCTACTACTTCCAACACTCAAGGAGGGCTTGAAGGTAGCTTTAAAAGCGACCTCTTTCTTTTTCATTTTCATTCTGTGTTCTCTTTTTTCTTTATTTAGGACAATTCGTGTGCACATATTTGATTTTTGATTTCTAATTTTACATTTAGTTTTTTATTTGATTGAAGCTCTAATGCTAGGTTTCCTAGGTTTAATTGCTAGGTTAATTTTTGGCTCTCATTGTTTCATAGATTTGGATTCATTTGGGGGTTTCTAAGTTTTCCAACCTTCCTAAGTTTTCAGATATTTGGGTTCGATTCATGCAAGTGGTTTCGTTTTTGGTTTTTGATTTTTACATTGATTTCATTTGTTCTGTCTTCAATTTATGGGTTTTCACTTAAGTCTTTAATTTTGTTTTACTGATTAGTTTCTCATTGCTGATTGATTTCATGGCGATTTTGTTCTGTTGAATGTTTTGCAATTTTCTTCTATTGATTCCATGTTTCCCTGTTGTAGTCTTTACTATTAAATTTAGGAAAAAAGTCAACTTAATAACACATAAATGACGCATGGGCTGCCAACCATGCATCGTTTAACTTCCGCTAACATCATTTAATGATAGGATATTAGATGATTTTTGAAAATTCAAAGGATCAATTAGATCAAAGAAAAGTATAAAACACTAAATGTTCTTAGGGGTATAGTTCAAAGCAAAAATGAATTTTAACCCTACATTAAATATTAATTCTCAGATTGTGAAAATTCAAAAAGCAGCAGCAGCAGTTGTAAGGCACATTTGCTATGGGGGAGAAAAAACTCAATTCCTGGAATAATTGACTAAACACCAGAGCAAAATTCCATGGATTATACTAGCATGATCACAGTAACCTACAGCTATGGCATTCCTTCTCCGACTTCATAGGCATCAAAGTTCCAGCAGAAGCTTCGAGAGTTTTTTCCTCGAGAAGCTAAATCGTAAAGATAACAAAGAAAATGGAAATACAAAATCCTTTGAAAAATCTATAACTCGTCCTTGATATCGGCATTATCAGTGGTAGTGGCCTCAGATTCAGCCTTCAGAGTAGATGCATCTTTTACTTCGCTTTCAGCCTCAACTTCTTCAGCGTCGTCTTCCTCTTCAACTCCAGCTTCAGGACTGATGTTTAAGCTAGACTTGACTGAACCATAAATACGGGAAGCAAAATCCTTGGGGTCATCTAGCAAGAAGCCACTTTCGAAGAGCGCGGTCTGGTACATCAGCTTTGCCGTTTGCTTCACCCCCTCATCCTGCAAATGCAAGCCGATTGTGTCAAGAGACAGAATTCAATTCCCATTGAAAAATACTAGAGGCACGACGAAAAGAAATCATTTCTTGTAAACGTAGAAAAAAAAAATTAATTCTCAAGATGTATGTAGCCTTGGCGAGCCAGGCTCTTCATTATCATATACACATATAACTAAATGATCAAAAACGCCCCAGATAGAAAGTTGAAGGGAACTGCAGATGAAAGAGAGAAACAACCAAGAATCCTATTAAGAAACTTTGTAGAGACTATTAGAAGCATTCCCGAAAGAATAAGCATGCAATTGAGCCTAGCACCTTTTTGCCATATTGAAAAAGAAACAGTAAGATCTCCCCTACCCCCCAAAAAACACACCCACAGCAAAACAAAGTGTTGATGATATCTCTAATTCTAAAGATCACACACAAAGCAAAAGCAAGCAGGAAATATTCAACTCCAAAATGTACCTCGGGGTCCTTTACTGTTCTCTCCCGGAGCTCTTTGATGATAGGGTGTCTAGGATTGATCTCAAGAACCCTCTTTCCACGCATGTATGCCTGCTTGCTAGCATCTGACAAAGTCTGCGACTGCATGATCTTCTCCATGTTAGCACTCCAACCATATTTTGATGTCACTACCACACAAGGTGTGTTATCCAATCGGTTGGAAATCTTCACATCATCAACCTTCTCACTGGAAAGGACATTCTTCCACCACTTGGTAAGATCCTTGAAAGATTCCTTCAGCTCCTTATCTTTTGAATCCTTCCCAATCTTCAGACCCTCCTTAGACACATTCTGGAACTTTTTGTCTTCGTAATCCATCAAGTACTGCATCAAGTATTCATCAACTGGATCTGTGAAGAAAATAACCTGTAGGAGTTTTGGGGAAAAAATTAGAAGCAATGGCACTGGCGTGTTCAGTAACAAAGAGATAAAATCGTAGACAAGACGAGGCATATCATCAGATAGACACAACATTAACATAAATAGCTTTTAATTGCACCTCATAATTTTTCTTCTTAAGCCGCTCAAGGAATGGAGATTTTTCTAATTGTTCTTTGCTGGTTCCAGTTAGGTAAAAGATATCTTTCTGCCCAGGTTTCATTCTAGAGATGTACTGATCTAGAGAAGTCAGTTTACCATCGGACTTGGTGCTGTAAAAGTTCAAGCATCAAGTACAATGTGAAGTCATGAAAGAGAAGAGACAATATCAAGAATCGAAAGAGGCACTGCAGCGGAATTTAATTACACCGAGGAAAGTTACCTCTCAAATCTAGAAGTTTTGCCAAACGATTTCTGTTGGCAGCATCCTCAATAATACCAAGTTTAATTGACTTCCCAAACTCATTCCAGAACTTAGCATATTGCCCTCTTTTATCATCACTGTCAGTGGACTTCTCATCTGCATCAAAATTCAAAATTAATGAAACAAAAAACCAATTTATAGAAATTAATGAAACCACTCATCAATAGCTTGCCAAAGATCATTGGAGAAAGATATCTATCCAACTGCCAAAATTTTTGAACAATCAGGAAGCCTACTATTCCAAAAGTGGGATAAAGATTGAGGGTCAAAGAAGTAATATTTATTACTTATTATACCATACCTTTCTTGTCTTCGTTAGTTGACTCATCAGGATCCTCATCAGCAATCCTACGGATCATATCAAGGGCTTTCCTGATGAGTTTCTTCTTGATTGTCTTTAGACTACTGTGTTGTTGAAGCATCTCTCGTGACACATTAAGTGGCAATGTGTCAGAATCAACAAGACCCTACTCCCAATGTCAAAACATCCAAGAATTAGCAAAAATGGTAAACAATACGATCCTCACGATATACTGCCAAAATATATATGAAAGTGTACCTTCAAAAAGTTCAGGTATTTTGGCAACAGTTCATCAAATTCATCCGAAATAAATACCCGTCTAACATACAATTTCAAGTTGGATTTGTTAGCATTGTAATAACTCTCATATAGATCTTGAGGAGCCTTAGGTGGCACAAACAGGACTGCCTTAAACTCAACATCGCCTTCAGCAGTAAAGTGACTCCAAGCTAAAGGTTTTTCATCACTGAAATCCTGCAAAATACATTACATTTACATGATGGATATTAGCACTCATCACTGTATGGATAAAATTGCCTATATAAAACCTAAGGACTCCCATTATTAATGAAGATGTGAGCATGCATATACATATACCTTAGCCAAAGAGTGGTAGAATTGATTGTACTCTTCCTCCGTAACATCCTTTGGATTCCGCAGCCATATGGCTTTGACATCATTCAAGAGTTCCCACTCATAAGTAGTTTCCTTGACCTTCTTTGTCTTGTGCTTCTCTTGTTCATCTTCACTTTTCTCAGAATCTTCAACTTCACTTTCTTCCTCAGAAGAGCTGCTTTCAGCTGAAAATGGAGAAACATAGAATATGTAAGAAGCATTGACTAAGAAACTAAACACCACATCTTATCTTAATGGATGCATACTAGAACAGTTTCTTGATGCATGGGGTGTAACAGAGACAAATTACCAATCAAGTCTGCCACTTATACTTACATGTTGATTCCTCTTCGTCACTAGACTCAGCTTCATCAGCGGGAACCTCTGTCTCAACTTCCTTACTTGCCCAAATATAAATAGGGAAGTTGATAAATTCAGAGTATTTCTTAACCAATTCCTACAGGGAAAAACAATTTCAGCTAGTCATTCGGTGAAACCTCAAATATCAATTGGTAAAAAAGGAGGGAACCATGCTTAGAAGAAAACCATGATATATTATTAAAAAAAAAAAAGAAAAACAGGAAGCATGAGAAAATGCAAACGTGAAATTAAACTGCTCATTACGACAGCCATAACAAATTGCTGAAGGAACCATCTAAAAGTTCGGAAGATAATAAATAGAATATTTCCTTGCAGAAAGTTTGTAGCATGTGAGCACTTGATATTAGAATACAAAAGAAGTCTCATATTTAAAGATTAAAAGATAGATTATAAATATATAAGTTTAAAAAGTATTTAATCAAATAGCTTAAACTATTTTGGTGAAGTATATTATCCTTAAGCACACTTAACATAAAAAATCTAACAAAAAAGACAAGAGAAAAAAACAGATGAGGAGCAGGAGGACGAGAAATAAAAAAAAAAAACAGAGGAAAAAAAATGGTAGAAAGAACATTAGAAAATAAAAGGAACCTCACATGTAAAGATTCAAAATAGATTATAAATATATACACTTGGAAAGTATCTAACTAAACGGTTTAAGCTATTTTGATAGAGTATATTATCTTTGAACATACTTAATAAAAAAAATCTAATACTTGAGATGTAAAGGTCAAAATAACAACGTATACTGTATATTTAGAAGAAGCAAAAGAATGAAACAAATTTAGCACCCCTATTTACGATTTCCAACAACGGGCAGGGCATTGAGATATGTGTTATCACCTAGCTGTAAATGCACAACACTCATTGTCCTTGATTGATACTTCTATTAAAATTAGAAACTATCAGGGTATTCTTGTTCACGGAAAACTAAGAAACATAATGATAATGATGTGTTAACTTCAAAATACTTAATAAAAACTCAGCTATCTATCCTGCATACTTTCAGCTTGTACTCCTCTAAGTACTCCCCAGCCTCATCTCTGAGATGTAACCTGATCTCAGTTCCACGTCCTAAAGGTTCATTCCATGTATCTTCCGATATGGCAAATGCTCCATCAGCTTTTGATTCCCAAACATACCTAAAAGACAAATAGTTATCTTATCACACTGCAGAAGCGAGGTACAGGAATAAAAAATAACCTCGAAAATTATTATCTAATAAAAAATGTAAGTTTGAAGACTTACTGCTTATCATCGTTATGTTTGCTAATGACTTCAACATAGTCAGCAACGAGATACACAGAGTAGAAGCCAACCCCAAACTGCCCAATAAGATTGAGATCTCCACTTGTCTGCACTTTTTCAACGAACGCTGCAGGGATAAATGGTTTCAATTAATTAACATCTTTAATAGCTCATCGTGAATGAAAATTATAATGCATAAACTACAAAATATATACCCGAAGTTCCGGATTTCGCTATTGTCCCCAAATTCTTTATTAAATCCTCCTTTGTCATGCCTATACCTCTATCCCGAATGGAAAGGATTTTCTTTTCCTTGTCTAACTTTATCTGCATTATATCAATCATAACGTTTTAAGGTAAAAATATAATGCACATAATATAATGACTAAAACATTTAAAATGCCACGATCAGCAGTCCATTATACAAAATTTGCCATCATTCCATGACTAAATGTACAATTCTAGATTCTATGATTAGATGCCCAATTCCTAACAGAATCATTCAGCATGACCAACCTGAATTTCGAGCTTGGTATTATCACCTTCGCCCAAAATCTCCTTATCGGTGAGCGAGAGGAACCTAATCTTGTCCAATGCCTAGCATAGGGAAGGTAATTTCCATTAACATGCAGGAAGAATAAAGTAATTAACTTAATTTACTTTATTACAAAAGAAATAAAAAGGAAACCAGCTTACATCAGAAGCATTGGAGATCAACTCCCTGAGGAAAATGTCCTTGTTGCTGTACAGGGAGTTGATAATAATATCCATAAGCCGGGACACTTCGGCCTGGAACTCAAACTTCTCCGCGTTGCTGCGCAGCGATCTCTTAGAAATCGACTCCGCCTCCCTTCAATCAATTCCAAAAACTTTCAGAAATAAATAAACAGACCATGAGTGGTTTATAACTCACAACAGGTGCAGTCTGCTCAGAAACCTCTTGGCCACATCTGAGTCGGTCGAAAGACCATTCGGAACAGCACCAATCTTCTCCTCAACCTTCGGGGTATCTACAAGCTCTTCCGAATTACCCTCGGCATTTGCCTGAAATTTCTGACCTATCCAACCAGAGATGAATAATTAAACTACAGTTTCAAGTGTTAAGAAGCTAAGGTATAGGTCTGTGATAAGAAAATGAAGTAGCTTGTGCACGAAATGCCCAATTCGTATTAAAAGGGGAGAAAACACTCAGCATCGGAGTAACAGAGGCCCGCCACACCTTGATCCGCAAACAGGAAGAGAAGACAGAGTAGAAGAAGAGCGGAAGGAACCGTCCACTTCCTCATCGCAGAGAAACGAAGTTTCTAGTAGCTATCTCCACTAAACTGAGAAATGATCCGTTCCACGGCACCGCTATGATAAACAAGAATGTATTTATACTTCGTAAAGTGCTGGTGACCGTGATTGTCACGGGAACCTCAGTCTAAGGATGTATAGGGTTCCGATTGGTTGAATTTTGCCAAACTGGATGATCGAACGGATATGATTGCCTTGTGGAAACGTGGCTTCGTTTTATTGGTTTGTTCTCTTTCGTTTTACGTGGCAAAGGCCAGTAGCCAACTGACCAAGCATTGTGGACGGTCCCACCAGACGACTCTTGAAACCAAAGTCTCCGCTTAATGCAGAACGTGGCACTTTACTATTGGTTTCACATTCTCTTTTTAACGTGGAAAAGAAAACCAAGTCTTCGCCCGAATCGCAAGGTGGCGATGTAGAGCTAGGAAGACTTGTTTGCTGGACCCGAACAGCTGATTATTAGCTAGGAAGACTTGGAATTCTCATACTCATGGTTATAGTAGTTTTTTCTTTCCATTATTGTAAAAATGTTTAAATTGCATCCTGGAGTTTGGCCACGGCCTCAGTTAATTAAATCCTTTCATCCAGCTACCTAAAGTTTAAAAATATTCATTCACATTACATTTGAGTATATGTTTTTAATAGATCGCATGTATTGTTTTATCTCGAGATTAACCATTTCCTAACTTTTTCACAAGAAAACTACTTAACTTTTGAAAAAAAAAAATAACACTCTTTAGAAATTTCATAATGTTTGTTTAACATTTTAAAAATAATTAAAATGTAAGGGAATTTTTTTATTTTGAATAGTTTTTTAAAGAAAAATGATAATAAAATCTCTCTAAATTATATGAATGACAATTCGGTTTCTTGAAATGTTATAATACCGATAAAATCTATTGCACTCTCCACAAATACACGAGCTGTGATGAGTAATATAACGTTAGTAGAGTATTGTTTTCACGAAAATTTGTAGTAGAAATAAGGTCAAGCAAGAAACTAAACAGGTTCAATCAAGTTGAGCAAAATATAATCGGTTGAATAAAATTGATTTTGAAACTTATATTATAATTATAAAAAAAAAGAAAATGATTATCAAACTTCAAGCATAAATTAGGACCTATCTAGAATTATCTATCCCCCTTACATCTCATAACATTAAAATAACATTTTCTCATAAATGTTTTTAATAAAAATAAGTGCTATTCTAAAAGATACTTGAACAAGCTCTCTCAAATCATAAACAAATATTTTATTAAATTAATTGTTTAATTTCTTATTACAATTAATAAAACCCAGTTTTAAACACTAGTCATAATACAATTATGCAAAGTTAGCAAGTATATTTCTATATCTTACTAGCAAAGCCATCTATCTATTATGCAAACTTTAAGTTCTCGCACTATTTTATCCAAATTCTATACCCAAGCAGCCCACTCAAACATTACCCAAGTGAACAAATCAACTAAATGGTGACCAATTATTTAGAAGTATTGAGAGAAGAGTAAAATGAATACTTATCTATCATTAATAACACAAAAATAGGTGAAAATTTGTGTTAATTCATATAAGAGTTTCAAATAATTCTAAAATAAAGTGTTTAGCTTCTTATAATCATTTACAAACTATAAATGTACAAAATATTTGAATCTATATCAGATTCAAAGAGAGAAAAAGAGAAGAAATAGAAAAACTAAGATAATAAAGCTTTAAATGTCTTCAAATCTTTATTTTTTTTGCTCCAAGCTCTTCCAACTTCGAACCCCTACCACATAAAGCTCCCAACGGAGATTCAAAATTTAAAGAATGCTTCACAAGTCTCAAAATTCATATATATAACCCTAGCTTCAAGTATGATGTCAAAACACATAGGTTCAACAAATGTCTTTTGGTTGCAGCTAAAATGCCCCTGTGAGTGTTTTGGCTATTAGCTACGGCTGGAGTGCTTCCGTCATGTTGTAGTTCTGGCTTTCGGCTAAAGTCGAAAGTATTTAAATTAAATCTCAATTTTTCACTCTTTATCTTGTCTTTTTTTTTTTAGTGTAATAACTTTATAAGTCTTTTTTTGTTTTTCAGATGGTGCTCCAACAATCAAAGAAGACAAGTAATTTTTGTAAGGTCCAAGTTTAATTTTAACCAAGATAAGAATTATGTACAATTTAAACCAAGATTTTGCCATTTAAGCCCAAGTATGAGAAATGCACATTTGTCTGTTATATATACAAAAGTATGCAAAACTTCATCAAAAATCAAATAAAATTTTAGGAAAATGCATTGAGGGAGTAACTTTTTTTAAAAGACCATTTTAACCTTATTAACGAATTGTGATTTATTATTTAATTATTGTGATTTTTTGAAAAAAATTTGTGATTCTTTAAACAAAAGTTGTAAATAGAGTTTGTTATTTTGAAAACTTATTTTTCAATAATAAAAATTACACTTGACAAATTATGATTTCTTGTTCAATTTTTACAATTCATAAAATAAAAGTTGTTATTATTTAAACAAAAGTTATGATTGATCAATTACAAAATTTATACTTGACAAATTGTGATTTTTTGTTCAACTTCTACGATTTACAAAACAAAAATTATAATACCTTAAATAAAAGTTGTGATTGGGCCTTGTTATTTTCAGTAAGGACAAAATAATTTTGTTCCTAAAAAAAGTTATTGACAAAGAAGTTCTTAAGGGTTTCATTAATATTATGGTATTTTGAAAAATTAAATTGTTATTTGCATAATTTGAATGAATTTTATTATTATTTTTTTCTTTTTTTAAGTAGTCAGATATAAATATAAGAGAGAGAATGTTCACGAAAATATGGAAAAAAAACACACACACACAAAAATGTCGTAAAAATGACCAAAAAGAAAAAGAAAAACAACCAATAGATAATAAAAAGTGACTACTCACGCTCACAGTAAACTATTATGTAAGTCGACAAGACATTTACATTTATTATGTAAATTCAAAGACTGAATTTCAGGTCCCAAAAAAAAAATTCAAGGACTGGATGATGGGCAGGGCTAAGATGGTGAGATAGCTTGGAGCAAGTTTAAGGAAAGATATGAACAAAGGCGGGTCTGGAAACGATGATAATAGGGGAAAAGCGATGCCTGCAAAAGTTGAGGATAGAACCTGCAATAATATCCTATGGATTTTCCCCGTCCGTTATTTTACGTCCATGTGATGTACAGGGAGATCAGGCTGGATCAATATTGATGGCTTCATTATATCAATGGCGTTACTTTTTGTGATATTCTCATCCAAATAAACCAGGAAATTAGATAAATGGTTTCTATGAACACATTGAATACCCACTTTAATTAGCGCTGCCATGGGGCTCATGTATTCTTGAAGGGTTCGAACTTTGCTATAATGACAAGTTTTTTAAACTTAATATTCATTCCAATTCTCTCAAAACTTTCATGCTCATGCAACAAGAGTTTTACTAGAACCATCTCCTTACTGAAAACAACCGAGAAAATCGAGAAGCTTATTGTGAGAATTTAGACAGTCACTTCTAATCACATGTATATATAAACTAATAAACGTGTTGATTAGTCATGCATCAAGCTTTCAACGATTATCTGGATATTAGGATTTTATGTTTCCTCCAACCCAGGGTGGTGTCATATTTTGCACCATGACTTGACTTGCTTTACCCTTTCACGGCTTTTATGTTGCCTTGTATTTTGAAAAAATTATTGGTTATGGAAGCGAAGATGTCCAACATTGTAACTGTGTTAAAGATGTTATAATTATAAATGTAGATTATTCAGAGACATTGGTTGTTAACAAGCTAAAACCGTTGTTGTGCCACATAATCAATTCAGGAACCAATTTACTAATAGATTAGATAAAAAAGTTAAGTATCATTTTTGCCCATAAACTTTACCCCAATATTTCATAATGAAAACTATTACTTCCTCCGTCTTAAATTATAAGATAACTTTAAACAAAATTTTACATATCAATAAACCTAATTAAATACACCTCACAGTCTTATCTTTTTAAAATAAAAATATAACTTTTTAAAAATGTTCATAATTTAATATATTAAAAAGAAAAGGGATGAAAATTAATTATAAAGAGAGAAAGAATAACATTGAAATTGATGCATTTATTAAAACTTTAATTTACTTAAAGTGTCTTATATTTTTAGGCAAAAAAAATCTTTCAAAAATGTCCTATAATTTGAGACGAAGAGAGTAAAAATTATAATGGGAGGCCTATTAATAGTGAATAGATGACGAGTTATATTAGGGTAATGAGGGAGAGAATTTTCAACATTAAAAAATATAATTAATTTATAATTAAATTTAAGATATCCAATGACCATTCAAGTAAAATTAAAAGCAAAACTAATCCTTAACTCTTAAATAAATTGGACGGAGGCTACAGAAGCCAATCGTTGTTATTTGTTTTGTAGTAGTCTTTCATTTGAACAACATGACCATGGGAAACAAAAGTATGGCAGATGGCAAATGAGGGTCTCTCTTGGTGTCTGGTAAACAGAGGTGCAAATGCAATAGAGAACAAGATTTGACTATTGCCGGCCCACTTCCTCGGTCCTTCAGAATATAAGATTCCGGAATGAGTAGAAGGCCTATGCGCCTGTCCGCACGCATTAAAGAAGGAAAGCGATTAAATTGATGTCATGCCATTTTGATCGTCCATCCTCCCAGCTGGCGGCCCTCGGTTTAGGTACCAACACGGATGGACCGTTAACTCTAAAGGACACAATCAAAGCTTTTAAGTTTAGTAATAGGAACTGGTAACGCACGAGTGAGGAGAAGCCACGTAATCAAGATGCAGATCTGAAAGGTACGAGAGACACGTGTAAGTGATCGGAATTGAAAAACCAAAATCAGGGGGTGTAGGGTGACACACGTGATTCCTCTCCCTCTCTCTCACTTTCCCTAATTTCCAATCCAAGGAGGATGAAGATAAGCTCGACGGGCAGAAGCGGATGAGAGAGGAACCCACTTTCGTAAATTCAAGAAATTGGGACTCCCACATAATAATCATAATTAAAGCCATGAACATTCCCAGCAGCGCGCCTTAAAGCCACCGCCATTTTCATTCTCAGATCTGTCGCTGCTCCTGCTGCTTTGTACGGCTCTCCCCCGTCTTCTCCCTTCTTTATGGCTGTGTCCGACACGGTTGTCGGAAATCTCACAACGATCTACGTGGCGGTGATCGCCGGCATCAAAGCCTACGGCCTTGTGTGCGGGCGGAGCTTCAGCGGTGGGTTTGTTGTGATTGTTTCAAGCACCGTGGTGGGCCTCGTGCTGGTCGCCACGCTGACGTGGGACGTATCCCGTAAGGTCACGTACGCCTTCACGCGCTATCACGGCGGTCACCATCATTCTCACAGTCATGCCCATGAGATGTGCAAGGGCGGCATCTGTTGGCACGGCGTGGCCGTGCGATCCACCGCTTCTCAGGTCCGCTTCAGGCTTCCCCGTCAGATTCCTTACGCGACTCTGTAAAGCAAGTTCATAATCCGGTAGAAGAACAATATGATGGTTTTTGTTTTTTTCCTCATGTAAAAAGCATATATATATATATATATATATATATATTTTGTCTAGAATTGTGGGTTTTGTTGTAAAGGTAAGCATCCAGTGAAGGAAGAGGGGTCGAGGTGTATGGTGGTTTTGATTAGAGTTCAGAGCTTAAATTATATGGTTGTGATGTATGTATTGATCATGGAAACGGGAATATTAAATTATGTGCGTAGATGTATATGAACGGAGGAAAACGGGAAAGGTGCATTAGTTTTATTTTGGTTGATCTTCGGCGTCGGAAGCTCTTTACTCTGCGTTTTGGGGATCATCAATAATTCTTGTTTATTTTACTAGTAACTTGACGCCCACAGCCTCCAGCTTGCCGAACAAGTGGGTGAGACAAGCCGTCTGAAACCGCTTGAGCGCTGAATCCTTTAGAGCAGATTTCTTAGTTGACAATAACCTCCAAACGTACGTGGCTGATGCACCATTTGAATCAGAAGGACCCTCATTGGATTATATCATAACACTTGGGATTGCTTGCTGGAGACTTAGGGGTTCAAGGAATGTGAGATTATTGTCCGATGAAGGAGTGAGTGTTGAGCCTATCTCTAAAAGCATACGAGCGATGGTTGACTCGATCAAGAAGTTGACGGGGTCGTTCAAAGCCTCACCCCTGATAGCCGTTACACTGATCAGCTCATAGCTTGGTCCAAACCACCACCACACTGGATTAAAATTATTTGTGATGGATCTCAAAACGCTAGCAAGACTAGCTCTGCTGCGGAACTTCTACATTATGAGAATGAGATCTGGCTTGCCGGTATTTGTAGAATTGCTGGTCACGGCAACAGTGTTCGGGCTAAGCTATGAGGTGTTTATGATGGCCTTCAATTCGCTTGGTAAAACGGCTGCAAGCATGTTCCTCTTGTTTCTAACAGCAAAACGATCATTAAGATGCTCACCAGCGAGAGCATGACCTGCCTAATGCTGACTCTCGTTTTCTCAGAAGCATTAAAAGGATGCTCCGACAACATTGTCATCCCAAGTCACGTACATCGGGAAGCCAATCGACGGGCTGGTCACCTTGCAAATCATGCCTTATATATCCATGCAGCTTGGAACTCATCAAATTTTGGATCCGCCTCAGTACATTCTTCGATCGTTTATTGCCGGAAGACGTTGAGGAATTTGCTTTACCCGTCGTTGATTTGTTAATTAGCTTTAAGCTTTGTATTTACTCTCTTCATTACTCCCAAATTAAAAAAAAAAAAAAACAAGAGGATGGGACAAGCTCAGCAGGACAAACACGCCAAGAGATGCCAGGGGTGGAGCCAAAATTTTAACTAAAATGCCCGAATGATAAAGTATATATAATAACCCAAAGAAAATTGTGCATAACACAAATATTTTAACACGTATATTCATACTCAATTCCATCAATCTATGAAAAAAAATGTATATTCATTTTTTAAGTTCTAACTCGTTGATTTTTTTATGAACTCGCCATATCATATTTAGGATAAAATTTTCTGCAATTTCATTAAAATATAAACTATCATTACATCGGTAAAAAATTCATTTTCTTTTTAAGTATTAAATGATTTAAATGTATTCTTAAGATCCAAAATCATATTTAATTTAAAAAGTTTTATTACTTACTCATTGAATTTATTATGTAAATTTTTTCAATGGATAATTGGTGACAATAGTAAATATATTAACATGCATAATGATGCTAAATTATCACAAAATCTTTATGTTGATAAAATCAAATTATATTCAAATGAAAACCGTTCATATCTTAAATTGGAATAAGTTGATTGTTATATAAAAAAGTAATTTTTTAAGAAGAATATATTGACCATAATCTCTTAACTTTTTAAATAAATGATTTTATAATAGATATCAAATATAAAATGTTCAATATATTTTAAGATTTTTGTTACAACATTTAACAAAGTTAATCAATAATAATTTTCATGATCTCTTTCATCAAATGTGAAATCAAAACAAAATCAAATGACATTAATTAATGCTTTAAGAGCATATGTAGCATCATCTCATTAAAAATAAGTAAATACTATAACAACTCCTCTTTTGATTTTATTTATAAGTCATTTTTAACATGTGTTACATGAATTAAGGAAACCTTAAAATTTATTAACTCTATCTAAAAATTTAATAATTTATCAACTTTGCCCCTAAACAACATATTTTCTTTTTCCAACATTTAATGAAGGGCAAATGAAAAAAATTGTTATGAAAATTTAACAAGATACTCCCTCAGTTTAAAAATATAAAGTATTTTTTTAGAAGTTAGAAAAATGTAAGGTATTTTTAATCTTTTAAGGTGCAATCATTGTCTTTTTTTTTTAAAGTGCCCTTATTGAATGAATTACTTTATATTTATTGTAAGGTGTTTATTAGAGGTAAATATGAAAAGATAGAGTTGGTTTAAAAGTAAGTAACTACTTTGTTAGGGGGTGAGATTTGGTTAAAAATGCCTGATATTTTTTAACAGAGGGAGTAACTTATAAATAGGACAAAGAAAATATTTTCTTTGCCTTATAAACAAAACTAGAGGGAGCATATCTTTAAAATTGAAACAATTGCATTGCATAAAAGAGTACATATAAAATTAAAATGAAAACTCTATTTAATGTCTCCAAACTTCTATAATGTATCAACTCAGAGGGCTGAAAATGTGTAACACTTAATTCCTTACATTTTACTAAAGAAAAAATTAAAAAGTTAGAAGAGCCATGGCTCCTCTTGATCCCTCATGTCTCCACCTTCATAAAAGATGTTATTCATAGTCCCATTGGATCTTAGTTCCACAACCCTTGTATTCATGCCTTTTTTGACCTTTTCGACATTAAGGTCAGATTTCATTTTTAAAAAAATAAAACGATATCATAACAATGCCAAAACAGACTAATCTTAATGCTATTTAGACTTGAAGTAACCCATAAGAAAAGACAAAATAAAACAGAATGAAAGACAGAACTTATGAGCCAATGCATAATTTATAATGGTACTATAGTGGAGCCTATTTTATGCTTTCTTCTGTTAAAAAATATAAAATATTTTTTAAAAAATTAGATGGATATTAAAAAATATAAAATATTTTTAGTATTTTAAAGTGTAATTGATATATTTTTTTAAAAAATACTCTCAATAAATAAATAACTTTATATTTATTTTTTAAGTGAAACATGCTCTTAAATGAGAGTTTAAATGAAAAGATGATATTAATTTGAAGACAATTAACTAATTTGTGAGAGGTTGAGATTGATTTAAAATGTCCTATAATAATTTTGAATAGAGCGAGTAATGGTGAACAAGAAAAGAAATGATCAAACACATCACAACAACAAATGCAACTACTTTCTCCCATGACAAGCTTAATTAACTTCACATTTACTAAGATTGTTAAAAAAATATGTAATTTCCTGATTTTACCCTTCCTAGTAATTAATAATCATAATAACTTTTGACAAAAGCTGATTCAATTGGTAAGGATTAGGCTCATAATTTACAAAGTCATGAGTTTAAATCTTACAATTGATGTGATATTAGTAGGTGATATATAAGTACTTTTATAAATATTCTTTAAATTTGAAGACATACCATAACCCTATTGAACCTTCGGGATCTAACTCACCTAAAATTTTTTTTACTAAAAAACAATCATGATAAATTATTGTCTAAGAATTCAAACGATAATAAATAAACAAGTTATAAAATTGAAAACATGTTAATTACTTTAACTTTTCTTCATATTAAAAGTCATTTTTTAAGTTTGCCTATATTATGGATGGAGGAAAATATAAAAGTAGGTGTTATTTGAAAGCTCTTGCTCAAAAAAATTGTGCAGCAACTTGAATATGTGCATGTTAAACAATGTGATGATGATGATGATGATGATGCACGCTGTATTAGTCACTTGAAAATGCTGACTAATTTTAAAACCGAAGGTGCCCAAAACATAATGAGAAATTTGTTTTTTTTTTTCAAAATAACACATGAATAATGATGAAACGAAGCCAGGCAAGGGGGCGCGATTTGTTGGCACCACAAAGGATTTCGCTCAATGGTACGAAGAGACCAAAGAAAGATTTAGCACACCAAAATCTGCAATAACTATCAGTTATAGGCTCATAGCATGTGTCTTGATTCATTTGCTTCTTGTGCGCCTTTCGTCCCAACGATTGTGGAATAATAGGGAACGGGGGGGCTTGATGAGAAAGAAAGCCAGGGATGGACGTTGTCTAAGCTTAAAAAGGGAATGTCACCTTTGCTGTCTCGGTCTTTGTCATGGCCCATGGCCATGGGATTCCTATCCTTTAATTCAATTGTAGTTTATACTTGCCAGCTCATCAGTAATTAATGTTATTTAATTCTTGGCTAAAAGCTCAAAACACCAAGACTGCTCTGCTAATGGCTAAAAGCTCATTGGTATTGTCATATGATTTAAATACACACACACACAGACAAGGACCACATCAGTGGGCCGGAAGATAGCTTTCGTGATCAATGGTTACCCAAAAATGGGTTAGGAAGTCTGCGTCAGAGTAGGTCCGTTGTGAATATATACACTTAACTGGCATCGGAGAAACATCGGTCGAGAGAAAACGAATAAACTAGGCAAATATATCATTTTTTACTGGGCTCAGGTCATTAGACTTCATCCAAGGCACACCTTAAACTCCCACCACATGTCCCTTTCAAACACTTAAAGTGGTGTTTTGTCAAAGCAACATTCTTCTCAACAGCTAAAATGTAACGGGATTCGTCATGCGTGTGAAATAAGAAATGAGGCAAGTGGGGAATTAGATTTGGGGCAAGACGGGAGTTTTCCCGAGTGCATATATTATGGAATGGGATTGGCACCGCCCCAGAGAGAGAGTTGCAGGAAGAGTCGAAATCAGTCCCAAGCACACTACCCAGCGTGCGGCCTTGATACGGGCAAATGTGGGAAACTTGGTCCCTACATTGCGAAACAGATGTGGGAACAAACAAGAACCAATAACCCATGACCAACTTCTGTACAAATCATCAGTACGTAAATAAAGTATGAAGCGCTGACTACACATTAGCCAAAAATAGAAGTTAAGACTTCAGGCAACCAGGGCAACTAGAAATGAAGATTGCTCTTAAGCATTCGGATAAGAGAGATACTTCCATCTGTTCGTTTCACATCACCTGAAGCTGACTTCCGCGTATCTTTTCTCCCCTGCAAATCAATTGAAATGTCAATACATATCAAAATGTCTTGTACTCCAAATTCACGACCCATTCATTCTTTTATTTTAAGAGAAAAACTTTATTTACACTCCAATGAATGCCTGGCCCTAGTCAGAAACCGGAAACCCCAGCCGAATGTGTAAGGGGAAGATCACCCTTAATTATATTACCTTCAATGTCGTTGCCTCGCCTACAAGATCGAGGTTACTCAGATCCCTTAATAACACGGACGTGGAAGGCAAAAGTCTCCTACATTATTATAATTATATTTATAAGATGTTAAAAAATGATAAAATTATAATCTGAAAAACATGCAAAGACTACGATAAACACGCAGGATTATTCTTCTACCATAAATTGCATCACGGACCTCTTTGGCTTCTGAGGGTTGCAGGAGTAGTTGTCCCTTCTCTCGGAATGCCGACTACCCACCTGGTCACATCCTTTAGTAGATGAGACAGCTTTAGGGGATGAAGGTTCCAGCGTTTCATCAGTGGGCAGTGGTGAGTTGTTGAACTCCTGAAAAGCTGATGAAGCATGAGGAAGGCAGGAATAGATTTTGTGTAAGAGCTTTTAACAGAGGTTGTATATTCGAGGGTATTTTAATTCTTTCGCCAATAGTTTTTCGCGATAAAACATTGAAAGAAATGCAGTATTATCTATTTATCTTGTCAATTCTGCGGTGTCAATTTTCATGATATTTTACTCAGTGCAGGCAAATTTAAAACCACAACACCATTCCCAGTTGTAATAACATCGCCTGATCAATACTGATATACTTATTCAACGTTGATGGCTTAAGAATTAACTCACAGTTACTATCTTGCTCTCTACCACCAAAGCATCACGCTTCCCTGGTTTTGATGAGTCGGCCCAGCATTTCCTAATAATTACAGCGAGAAGGAAGTAAGAAATTACACTTCGGAATAAACTAACCAGCTAGATACAGGAAGAGCCAGAAAGACTAGTAGGAACCGAGGGATAAAGATTGCTGGTCACAGCTGATCCGAAAAAACAAAAAAAACAAAGAAAGAAAGTAAGAAGACTGAGACTAACCTGTTTGATTTTTCAGTGTCCAAAGTCGTGCCTGATGTACCAAGTACAGACTCATCATCCGAATGATCAAGTCTAGGCTCACATAATGTTTCTGCATCAAAAGTTTCCTGGAAAGAACAGATAGAAATATCGAGCACAGTTCTTGGTCTGAATCTCACAAATATAAATTTCATGTTCAGAATGGATAATATCCTCAGTAGAGTGTTCGTCTACCTGGAAGCTTTCAGCATAATTATATTTCTATTATAACCTCTAAACCTGTAATATATATATATATATATATATAAAGTTCGGAGACTAGATGTAGGCTATCATCTTACCTGACGATTCAATAGGATTAATTTATCATCAGATTGGTGAGAAGCATTAGTGTCGTCAGGTCGATAACCAGCATGGTCACAGGCTTTGGTAGATGAGGCATCCATGGGTGACGAAGGGCCCAACTTTTCATCATTAGGCAATGATAAAGAATCGTTGAACTCCTGCAAGGTTGATCACAGCAACAGCTTTTATCAGGGCTTGTCAAAGGAATGATGTATTTAATGGCACCGTTCTTGCAGACAATCATTCATATGAAAACATTGAAAAGATTAGAAGATAAAATTATTTCCACAACTCGAATGATTCCTATACAAACTCAATTTCTACCTTCTACGTATCCATCATTGCAACGAAAGCATTGAAAAGATTAGAGGAAAGAATCAACTCCACAACTTGAATGATTCCTATATAAACTCAATTTCAACCGAATACATATCCATCATTGAAGCAATTTGAATATATTTGTACGCGTTGTTGGCTATAAAATCAACTCACTGTTAGTATCTTGCTCTCTCCCTCAACCTCCGAAGCATTACGATACCTTGGTCTTGATGAGCAGTCCTCATCTTTCCTAATTATTACAGCAAGCACAAAGACAGGAGTGATGCTCTAGAATAAATTAGACAGCCAGATGCTTCAAGGACAAGAGAGACAAGCAGCAACCACAAGGTGAAGATTATCAATCACAAGACTAACCTGTCTGATTTTTCAGCATCCAAAAGCATACAGGAAGTTCCAAGTGGAGGCTCATAATCTGAATGATGAAGTCTAGGCATAGATGATGCTTGAGCATCAAATGTTTCCTAGAAGAAATAGATAAAGAAATACCACCAGCAATTTTCTTATAATATGAAGCTCAAAGAAATTCTAACATGAAAAAAAATACTGGTGAGTATAGCTTTCTCAAAATCATTATCCACTTAAAACTCAAAATGAGTGCACATATATAATGCACTCATCACTTAAATTTTGGCTAGTTAGTATGTCACATGTATGATAAAGGTTCCTACGGAACTATCAGTAGAAAGGGCATCTGATGCGTTCTAGTTCAACCAGATTCTTAGAAGCACTAGCATGCCAGTGGTTCAGAGAAGAGGAATTAAATGATTAATATGTAGCACAAATACATCTTGAGATAAATAGTATAACTAACTGCATGGCGACCGTATGCTTGTTGTATCTTGGGCTGCAATATTTCTGTAATTAGTAGAGTCTACTGATCTATAGATGTAAGATGTAAGGTTTCATGCTGATGAGAACTCAGCCTCCATTTGCCAAAAAGGGTGTTCTCTTCCTCGTCTCATTTGTTAACTTGGCGTAAGAAAGAAGGGGGCATGGGAATCATGGTGCAACAGAGCATATATGGCTGAACTAGTTCTTGGCCCCAAATGGCTAAAAAAGTGGGCCATCAATCGAGCTGAGATATGTAGCAGTCCAACTTCCATACATAAGCTGGAAAATTTTTAGAGTTGAATCCATAACCACAAAATCTGCATACCTGATTATAAGCATTGCATCCTTTGCTCCCTTGGCGACAAGTGCAGAATGCTTTGAACTCATTTATCTCTGTTTCCAGCTCTTGATATTTTTCCTTTTCATGCCCAATGCTTTCTCTGAGATTTTGTATTTCCATTTCTGCAACCTGATTATAAATATTGGTATAAAGTATAACTTGACAGTTAGCTTGAGCGCAAAGCTTGCCGTGAAAGCACTTTTTATGAGAGAATAGATTAAAACTTGGGTTCTTTTTTTTTTTTTAATAATTATCACCTTTAGCTTGCTATTGTATTGCTTCAAAATATTCCATAAAGCTTTGGCAAAATTCTGCATAATAACGTGGCTTCTTTCACTCTGAGCCTGGCTATCACGCTGTGACTTTGGGGTACGCCTATTAGCTTTTAATTTGCAAACTCCTGGAGCATCAATAGCCAAGTAAAAATTAGGGCAAGAAAGTTTAAATGTGAGAAGATATCAACTGCCAAGTGTCAGAATTGATAAATTCAGCTCAATTTGAATATACAACCTCCTTTAGAAATGTGCAATCCTTTGACATTGCGCTCTTCATTCTGGAAATAAACAAAAAAATTGTTCACACTTTAAAGCGTAATAGAAGTATCCAGAATTTAATCCTTGAAGTTATCAATCAAAATGTTTCACAAATCAAACATAAAAAATTATTCTCAAACTAATAGATAACAAAGAAAAAAGGAACATGTTGATCATATCAAATTCCATTTAATCGAATATAACTGCAGATATGAATCCTTGGAGTGAAGTGTGTTCCGTACCATATGTTCAAATCATCAATTCACTTTCTTCTAAATCAAGAGTTCATATGAAATAGCTTGTTTACACACAGAATTTCTGTTTTAACTATTGAATTCATGGAAACTTGGTGCTTTAATGATTATCTAATAAATCTCTTCTGATCTTATTTTTAAAAGGACAACATGCAAAGAAGAGGGACAGCCATGCAGGTACAAGCTAGGAAAGTCAAAAGAACACGCACACTATCTTCACTGCTAACAAGTCTCATTCGCTTTGCTTGCCCTAAAATAGATGACGGTTTTGCTTTCTCCACTATAGATGATGCTTGGTACTGCCTTTTGCTAGGAACAATATTTGATGGTTCAACTTCATTATACCTGACAAAAGCATATACATTCTATTATAAATGGGGGTAGATATGAAATGCAATTGAAATCAAGAGATGAAAATAGCGTCACTTGATTTTCATGAAAGGGGAAGCTTGTCTTAGTAGGTAAGATGTATCAAGATAATCTTCTTCTCCTGACTTTGCTGTTAAAAGCTGGGGGCAAGTTCACCAAGATTAGTGGACTTGGGAGAGTTATTGAATCCCAATTTCATGAAAAAGAATCGCAATTCTCAAAACATGATTAAATTATCTGGAGGAAAACTAAGCTTAAAATAGAATCTGCATACCAGGGTCATGCGCTTCTTGCCCTCCAAATAATCTCGAAGAAACCTAGTTAACTGTAGTAGAAACAGTGATATTTGTATCTCTTCAGTCTTCTTTATTTCAGTTATTGTTTCTTAAAAAAATATTAATGAACAGAAAGAACAACCGAGAGCATCAATTGTATATTCTGCAGATATGACATGCAGCATCGAGGCAGAGATAATGGCAACAAAAACAATCGAAATGCATCAAAGGCCAGCAATATGTCAAATTATTGTCTAAAAAAACTTACCAATGAGTTTTGGAAGTGCTTCTGCAATGGTTTCTTAGGATTTTTTTGGTGCTCCAGTAAGGACTGGAAGTAAAAACAGATCAACATAACCATAGATGAAAGTGGTGGAAGTGTGAAAAAAGAATAAGGAAAAGACCTGAGCGCATGATACATACTCTTAAGCACAAGCCAAACACCATTAAAGTGTTGTTGATGAAATTGCTTTCAAGAAATCTTGTCCCCTGCAATATAAGAAAATGTGAGGTGAAGGTAATAGCAAAATATTTATTCCATAATGTTGTGATATATTTATTCTCAATCTAGCTTATGAGAATCAAGTAATAATTACAAGTTACAACAAGATCATCAGCAATTCTACGTTTGCTGATTCTCTGACATTTTCAAAAGGTTTATTTTAAACCAGATATTGAATTTGGTCACAGAAAAAAGAATTTAATTCAAAATATAAGTAGACGCTCATGTTTTTTACACTATCTATAACTTTATGGTATCATGGTTACTTTATGAATAATTTCATAAATTAAAGTTGAAAAACTGATAACATAAACTTCATCATGGCCGACAGATTTGCTTATGCATGAAAACATGTTTGCTACGTTTTATAGGCCACAACATTTACATCCCTATTTTAGAAAAGACTGCAAAGGTGACATATGGTTTGACTTTCGAGACTAGCCATGCAGCTTCTATCCTGAAGTTGCCAAACTGCAGAATACTCAAAATCAACACCTATATTTCATAGCAATACGACTATATAAAGACCTGATTCCCTGTTTTCTTTTCTCTTTCTGCTCCAGCAAGGTCAATTATAGTCAAAACAGCACTATTTGATGGTGAGCTGACTGCCTCTTCACACTTTTGGCAAACATTAATTATGCATTGTGAACGGCTACAACAAGAGGACAAAATCAAATCTCAAGAATAAAACATTGCATGTATAAACTTATAAACAGCTACCAACGTTCAGAGTCCAATTAGAAAAGGTAATAATCCGTTCTATAAGTTCACTGAAGACAGGAGTAAGAATTACTTCATCCAGGCTTTATTGCAGATAAATTATGAATCTATACAATTCGTAGTTAGTAATAAACTAGCTACAGAAGATCAGCCTCAAACGGGACACTGGAATACATTGAAGAGTATCATTAGTTATATCATTGTAAGAAAGAACTCACTACATCTAACTTTTCCTTGTATCAAAGTACTTGAAGCTTTCCACTGAGAAGAACTACCAAGCCAACAAAAAAGGAACTTCTTAAATTTGTGTTTGCATTTTACCTTGATTGACTGTTAGTATTAGTCATTGCAGTGGCACGTTTGAGCATCGCTTGTGCTATTAAGGATTCTGCCTGTCTGGCACTAGATATGAGAACCTGTTCAGAGAAATCCAAGAACAAATTATCATTATCAATCATCTTATACACATTTAGTGACATTAAATTAAGGAGATGTAGCTAAAACCTCTTGCAGGCCTTTTACAGTTGATTGTTGCATGCTCAATTCACAACCATCTCGCAATAAATCAAACAGCTTCTCCGCTTTACCTCGTTCAGAATAAATCTCAAATATTGATATGTAAAAGGACCTGCAACTTCCACCCAAGGACTAATTTGACATTTCATTCAATTAACTATAGAAACGTTCAATTGACCAGAAAAAATAATAGGAAAGTTTAAGACCAGGTGCTGCTGTTCTCCAGAGCTAGTTAATGCATAATCTTGTTTGTGTTCATAATGAGAACAGCTAAATTATATTGACTTCCCTGAGAATTGTGTCTTATCTATGCCTGGCTGCTTCCAATTGAATACAAAACCACTTGCATGTGTCAAGGACCCATGTCGAATAAGGATATTGGCATGTTACACTGATTACATTAAGGAAATTCCTCATTCAAATTTTCAAGTTGGATTATCATAACATTTTCAAATATGATTCTTAGTGAGCAGTGACCAAGCAACGAGATTGAATAGCAATGTAATTTTAGGATGCATCTAGAGAAGTTCCAAATGTATAAAGGATCATAGAATACCTTAATGCCTGATTGGCCCTAGTCTCAGTCTCCTTGAAGATGTGTTGAAGGGCAAGAGGTACCATTCCAGGCTCCCTTGGACGCCCAAAAACAGTATGCGTTTTGCCTGAGCCACTGGGCCCCAGTGCAGCCAACATCCCATTTTTACCGCTAAGAAAGTCATCCACCATAGGTTTCACCATTCTCTCATACACTGCAAGCTAAAAATTGAAATGTAAATTCGTGAATATCCCATTGCTCGTTGAGAAAGGTGAAAAACTACCAAGGAGGAAGAAAAGGTAACAATGGAAAGAGTACCTGAGATGAATCGGTAGAAAAAACATGAGAGAAACCTCCGTAAGTCTCAGATTTGATTTTCTTAGACTCTTGCAAATCTGTAGGGGGTGATAGTGTCACCGAATGAGGGTCATTAAGCATTATACAAATTCTGGACCCTTTGACAATTTTCTCCCGTCCTAATGTATTCTTTTTTGTTGGGTTCTGAGGCCACGCATTTTTAGCTCTTAACCTCTGATTCTGATCAGCAACAGTAGAGCCTACTTTTCCAGGACCCTTAGAGTTTAGGAGAGGTCGGATTCTCAGGAAAACTTTGATGTTTTCGCTCTCTGATTTTCCATGAGACGTAGAGGAGAGCTGCAATGGAGCATTTTCCGGATTTTGTGCGGACAAAATGTCTTCATTAGGGAACGGCGGAACTTCTCGCAACTTTGAAATAGATGAATTATAGCATTGTGAAGCTTTGATGGGAGTAGCACGAGCTCTACGATAGGGGTTCCTACGAATAGTCACGGTGTTAGGGCATGGCAGTGGACTGCCGATGTCTATCGTCTCTGCTTCCGCGTCTCTTCCCTTTCCCTCCATCTGACGGAAAGGTAGAAAAACAAGGTGCGGACGCCAAAAAAAAAAACACTGATGTTACCAAGACGCAAAAAACAAGGTGCGGTCTGTGATGGGGTTTTTACTCCGTTAACAAGAGATAACTCTAGGGAGCACCCCCGACGCTGACCTCATTTTCCATGCTAAGGATCTCCTGAGTCTTGGATTATATCTTTCACTGATGTCTCCGGAGACGGGATCCGCGTGGCTTACAAGTTACGTTGAGCTTCAATCGTGAAGTTCCCTTTTCTGCGACTGCAAGAAGTGGAGGACGAAGCGCCTTCTGCTGCTAATTCTATGTACTCTCGAGCAAACAAAGGTGCGGATTTTAAAATACCCTGACGAGGGAAATATTGTGTGTTTTTTTTTTTTTTTTTGCCACGTGTGTGTATAGTTAAATTTGGTTATTATTATTTTTTTTTGGGGGGGGGGGTGGTTACTGGCCATCCAACCATATCTTCAAGGCAAGTTTAGATATGTCTTGGAAAATAAAAATTATTGTTAAACTCTTAGTTTGATGCGCATATTCTTTCCAAATTGGTGATATTAATGCATGTCTCTTTATAAAGAGTAAATCCTATTTGATTTTGTTGAAGAGATGTGAAAGAGAGCTATTTTTAATTATATTTTTTAAAAAATATAATCTTTAATCCTCATAATTTTATTGAATTTTATTTTTAATCTTTATAATTTTTTCAATGTTTTTAATTTCTGTAGAAACTAAAATCACTGAAAAATAAAAATTATAAGGATTTAAAAAATAAAAATTACTCAATCTTTTTAAAATTACAGAGACTGAGAATATTGAAAAAACTATAAAAATTAAAAACAAAACTCAATGAGATTATTAAAATCAAAGATTATGTTTTTCCTATACTATTTTTAGCTGATTATACTAAGGGAGTTTAAAAAAAGGACGGTGTGTATAATTAATTTGTCATTGTGCTCTTAAATGTTATTTTTTAAATTGTTCCTTGTATAAGTATTAAGATTCACTTTTATTCTAACTTCTGTCCTTAACATGTGTATTAAAAATAGTGCAATGAAAATAATAACTTTTTAACTAGTTTAAATATAAAAAAAAAGGCACAATCACTAAATACATCATGAAATATCTGTACTTTTTTTCTTCCAAAGAAATTCCATTAAAAAAGGGGAAAATTGTAAATAAATCTTATGCAAGAAATATATTTACAAAAAAGTCTCATTACGTGTGAGAATATTCCCAAGTCTTGTGGAACTTTCTTGTATTTAATTTATCGTGTACAATAGCGAGAATTTTCTTTGGCTCACATTCCTTTCACTGGCATCGGACGTTATTGACTAGTAACTGGCAGCCGTTGAACAGTTACCAACCAGTAATAACTAGTCAAAAAATATTTTTAAAAAAATATTCTTACTAAAAATTTAACCACTTGCAATATCAATATTTTAATATTTACAATTTACAATTTAAATTTAGTAAATTTACAAGTTAAGCTTCTTAAATTTAAAAACAAGTCTTTAAGGATTAAAGCTTTCATATTAATAATTCAATATCTTAAATTTATAAGTTAAACTCATAAATTTACAAATGAATTTATAATTTTTGCATTGGTTTTTCAAATTTTAAAAATTGATTTACATAGTTTTCAACTCATTTTATTAGATTTACAAAAAGACTAAGCATTTGTTATTTTGTTAGTTAAGCTTGGCTTGTAGATTTAAAAGGATATCTTGTAAATTTAAAAAGTTGGCTTCCAGATCAATTTGTAAAATTTGAAGAAACATTGCATAAATTATTAAAATTCACCTTATTAATATTAAAATATCAATAAAATCATAGATTTAACTCTTTTGTGAAAAGGAAAAAAACTCAGAAGGCTTAAGAATTTGAGTATTCCAACTATTAAGTCTGATCACTTCATTTATTTTGTGTAATAGCTAGAATATTACTAATTAAAATATATTTTGTATACACTTATACTATGTAATAGTTTATAATCTTTGAAATGTGTTTTGAGACTTGAAATGTTGTATGTGAGTTGGATAAGTGTTGAAAAGACCAAAATACTAATATAAGTGTAGGGTATATTGTTATGTTATTAATTTAAAATTTAATGATTTATGCAATGTTAAAAACCTCCTCCTTTTATTTTTGCTATAAAAGAGGTTGAAGAGTAAAAATTTGACATTGATGAGATTATGTGCATATGATGTGGTGTACAAGTGGTCCTAAATTCATTCAGTGTGTTTTAGATGTTAGTGGTAGTTTTAAGCACATATGTGAGGTTTTGGACACTTTTGAGTTGTAAAAAATGTAAAAAGTTGTGAAATTATATGTGGGTGTCCATTTTTTATGTGTGACAAAATTTGGAAGTAAAACTCGTACTATTACCCAATTTATTAAAAAGAGATGTAAACACCTAGATCATCTCAATCGAATATCGAACAAAGAAATGAGGCGTACGAAGTCGCCCCTAGATGTTGTCATTGACAACAGAATGCTATCTAAAAATGTGTAACAAGTTGCGGTGTGCGGCACGGAGAAGGATAGCTGCGGCGTACCTCTATGTTTTTTACTTCTTATTTATTTTCAACTGATTTTGAGTCATTTAACTCCCATGAGATATCTCATGCTTCTAAAATAATATTTTACTCTAATTTGAAATTCCCTAAATGATGTTTGCGAAATTTTAAGTTATGAAAATTTGAGATCCTATTTTTATAAATTATAAACTTTTCACCTCTTTCATAACTAAAAAGGTGTCTAAAACCCTATATGTGTGTCAAATGTCATTCCTAACACCCAGACCATATTCATTGAATTTATGATTACTTGTACAACACACCACATGAACACAAACCCAATCACATCAAAATTTCACTCCCCAACTCCTTAATATGCAAAACCAAAGGGAAAGTTTTAGCATTGTATTTTGCAATAAATCTACTATACTTGCACTAGTATTTTAGTCCTATTAACATCATAATTTATCATAAATAACATCGCAAGGCCTAAAATACATGATAGATGTAACATCTTGATCCTTAGATAATAAATAAATTGTGAAACTTGGGTTTTTGTTGAGTATTCAAAATTAAGAATTCATATTATTTTGAGGTTTGGAATAAATAAATTTACATTTGAGGCTATTTGAAATTAATCATGTATCTAGGCATTCAAATGTGGATTAAATTTAAGCTCAAAATCATACAAGATATGCTTATTTAAATCATGATATAATTAATATATATATGTATGTATGTATGTATGTATGTATGTATGTATTCAAAAAAAGGAAAGTAAATCCACTTAATAGTGGTTGGAAAATTTTGTTCCCTTAGTTTGAAATTGCTCCCTTAGTTTGAAAATAATAATAATAATAATAATAATAATAATAATAATAATGATAATGATAATGATAATAAATGGCTATGGAACCCACATTCTATTATAAATAGTACCTTCTCCTTCTCATTTTTTCTGTACAATTTTCTTCCTCCTTCTCTTCTTTCCATTTAAATTTCTGCACAGCATTGTTTATTTTATTTAAGTAAGATTTTAAATTTTTAAACTATTTAGGTGTGCAAAATGACTTTTATATTTTAAGGTCTCTTCATAAATATTTTTTACTCATTTATAACTATCTAAAAGTAATATTATTTTGATGTAAAGAGAAAATTTTTTGATTAAAATTTTTCTATAGGATGGTTAATATGAAGTTATGATGATTCAAAAATAAATGTTGAGGATACTAGAAGTATAATAAATACTGTAAAATTTTAAGGTTAAAATTTAGATTTAAGAATTTTTTAGTTAAACTGTAGACCTATATAATTGAGTTTATGTTATATTTGAGATGTTAGGATATTTTTATAATTATTAAATATTTATTTGAGTATAAATAAATATTTTTGAGGATATGATATGGTGATTTAATGTTTGAGGGTAATTTTTAAATTTTTAATTTATTTTTGGATATTTTTTGAAAAATAAATTGATGAAATTTTAATATTATGATTGATTTAAGACCTAGATATAGTCTATTGATGTATGAGAATCTCATAAAGTAATTTAAAAAAAATTAAATTAGGCACTAATTTTGAATTAGCGTTAATATAAAAATCAGGCCTAAACTTTTTGACTATTTAAATTAGAATTATTTATTAATTTCAATATTAAAGCAATATTTAGTATAATGAAATTAGTATTGTACATATATTATTAAATAGCCATGTAGATATTGTTGTCTAAAAGAGTGGTAAAAAAGGTGTGATGCAGGGGAACGTGTTGTTTGGGACACGAGATAACCATTATTAATGTGTGGTAGTATATGTGTGAGTGATTAATTGTGTATTTGTTTTGTCACTTGGAAAATCTTGATTTTTTTGAGAAACAATATATATTTTTTATTCAAAAATAAATACTAAGTGGGTTAAATTTATAATTATGAATATTATGTGAATTTTGGCACTACTGAAAACATGAGATAAATTGTCTGGTTGATATAAAGATATGCCATATGGTTTTGTTTGACTATTATAAATGCATGACTGGTTGGAGTATATTAAAAATTGTTTGGTAGGAATTTTTGTTTCATTGAGTTACCACGTGAGAAGCCCTTATTAAAATCAGTGTGTGGCTTGTAGCTTGGTCTAACTTACTTTTGACCAGGTGACTTGATGTTTGAGCATGACGTAAGAAGGAATATAAGGTGTAGTTATACTAATTAAATAATTGTTTGGATTGCTGTTTTATTTGCCCACTTAACAATTACATAATTAACTACCTCATGTACATTATTACATATTAATATTTGGTTACTAAGACTTTTAAATTTCATTCCCCGTGATTATTAATTTTTCAAGAGTAAGTTCAGTCGGAGAAGTACATGAGGTGTAATTCGATGTACGAAACAACATTTTCTAATTCAGCCTCTTTATTTTCATTAACAATGTATATTATGGTAACTCAGGATAGATATATATATATATATATATATTAAGCTTGTATACTTTATTTATTATTGTACTTTATATATCAAGAGAATCATGTCTGTTTCTCATGGCCTTAGGTATTTGTGAAGTAAAATTTCGATCAAGTATACCTCTATGTGGTAGTTTTTGGTGGTAACCAATGTTTGAAAAAATATAATTGGGCCCAAGTTAAGTGTCCACTGTAAAAGCATGGTTTATGAAGTGTTGTTCAATTGACCATGACTTTAAAATTATAACAAGGGTGTACACTTGAAGTATTTAATAATTGCTTTGCTTAATTACTATGGTAAAGTAAATTTATTA